TAATAGCTTCGCCAACCTTTAACCCAGGAAGAGCTTTAAGGAAAGAGGAAGATGCAGTTCCATCATTTTCATATCCTTTTCTTCCTCCTTTCCTTTTTATCTCTCTCTAGACACTTTCCAGGTACCCAGTGACGACCTTGTGCACTGCTCCAACAGCCTACCGCATGCTGGTGCAGCAGGACCTTAGCAGGTAGCTGGTTATCAGTTAACCCATCTGTATATTTGGTTGGTTGGTTGGTTGGTTGGTTGGTTGGTTGGTTGGTTGGTCAACGGTGAGGCCAAAGGAATCTGTAATACTAAAACCTTCAGAGCAGTTGCTGCCTACTGGAAGTTATCAATACAGGAAAGAGAGCTTAGCTTGTTCTCTTCTAGGTCAGTAGACATCCTCCTTGCAACTTTATACAGATGGTCTTCAACTTACAACAGTTCATTTAGTGACTGTTCGAAGTCACGAAAGCACTGAAAAAAGTGACTTACGACCTCTTCTTACACTTATACTTGTGGCATCCTCAAGGTCATGCGATCAAAATTCAGATGCTTGGCAACTGACTCATATTGATGATAGTTGCAGAGCTACTGGGTCACGTTTTGCAACCTTCTGATAAGCAAACTCAAGGGGGAAGCCAAGTTTCACTTAACAACCGTGTTACTAACTTCACGACCACACTGATTCGCTTAACAACTGCGGCAAGAAAGGCCATCAAATGGGGCAAAATTCACATAACAAATGTCTCACTTAGTGACAGAAAATTTGGGGCTTAATGGTGGTCATAAGCTGAGAACACCTACATACAACATTTCTGTCAGCAAATTTCATGAGTCCTTCCTTTGTCTCTCTTCGGGAAAATGTAAATTGCCATTTGTACCAATGATTTATTTTTCCCCTCCTGCATTTTTGTTTTATGTTGAGTTCCTTTTTTAACTGAGAAAGATGAGCATCACTTGATCCAGTCTAAAAACAAACCGTGTATGTATGTATGTATGTATGTATGTATGTATCTTCCTCTCTCATTCACTTTCTTAATTTATGTTTGCATTTTATTTGATGGTAAACTTTAATTTAAAAAAAATAAATCTAAAGTGAAAAGTGAAATACAGACCCAGACAGACAGAGGCAAAAGTTCCAATCAGCTAAAATCTGCAGGACAGACTCTTAGTACACACAGCGTTGACTAGCAACACTACCTAAGGGTGTTTCTGGTTAGAATTTGCAATCAGCCATTACGCCCTGTCAATAAAGAAGAATATTTGCAGCTCATCCAGTATTGATGATGTTACCTAGTTGGGTAATGAAATGTCTGCAAGAAAACCACCAAGCTCAGAGAGCACCAAGCCCCCGCCCTCATTACACCCTGCTTAATGATAGAGGCTCTGAATAACTATAGAAACCAGTCTCTTTCTTCTTTTTCTCTGCATAAAGCTACACATTCAAGAGCCTGTCTCACTGTTTGACTGGTGGAGAACCAATGAACCCGGAAGTGGTGTCACAATGGAAAAAACAGACGGGGTTACAACTCTACGAAGGCTATGGACAAACTGAAGTCGTATGTGCATGTACATAAAAGTTCCTTTCTCTTAACCAGGATAGTTAAGGACCCAGTAGCTAAAGATGGTTAAATTTAGGACTGAGAAATTATTGATGTTGTTGTTTTTAATGGCTGGGTGTGAATGCACCCCATCTTATTCATTCACAGTTCAGGGTATTGTCTGAACCAAGAAACTGGGTAAATGAATTAAGCAGGGACAGTTCGTGGTATGACTCTCCAACTATAGGGGAGAGGTATCAGCTGAAGGCCATGGAGCTGCATGATAAAAAAATATAATTTGGAAACCCACTCAAGGTATCATGCAAAAGATTGTGTTTTCTATCATAGAATGGTATTCAAAGACTGGGGAATGCTCATTGAAGGCACAGATATTTTATAAGTCCAAATAGCACTAGCACGTGGACTTATATACCACTTCGCAGTGCTTTTACAGCCCTCTCTAAACAGTTTACAGAGTCAGCCTCTTGCCCCCCAACAATCTGGGTCCTCGTTTTACCAACCTTGGAAGGAGGGAAGGCTGAGTCAAACTTAAGCCCCACCAGGATCGAACTCCTGGCAGTGGGCAGAATCAGCCTGAAATTCTGCATTCTAACCACTGTGCCACCACGGCTTGCTTGCTTGCTTCCTTCCTTCCTTCCTTCCTTCCTTCCTTCCTTCCTTCCTTCCTTCGCAAGCAGTAGCAAACTTATATACCGCTTCACAGTGCTTTTACAGCCCTCTCTAAGCAGATTACAGAGTCAGCCTTTTGCCCCCAACAATCTGGGTCCTCATTTTATTGACCACGAAAGGATGGAAATGTCCAAGGGCAATTCCAGGAGTATTCAAAATTGTTTGCTGCAGGGGATGATAACAGCCAACAAGAAGGGGAAACCAGTTAAACTGGGCTCCATGGGGACTGCAGCTCCACCTTACGATGTTCAGGTAAGGACCATTCACCTGGCTCAGGTGAGTTCAAGGTTGGAAGGTCTACTTTTAGCAGGGAAGGAAAATATGTGGGAGGAGGTGGCTTTTCTTTTCAGCCTCCCCATCAACTGATAGCAAGCAAACAATTATAAGTAGACCCCAGGGCCAATCTGAGATAAATAAATAAAAAATGAAAAAATAGTTGAGATTAAGGTGGGAAGCCCACTTCTTGCCCAAAAAAATGACATGGAATGAGCTCCCCAAAGTGAGCTGGAATTTTATTCCTTTGCTTTTCCTTAACCTTAGCACTTCCTTCCTCTTCCTTGCTGTTTCCTAGATTGTAGATGAAGATGGCAAGATTTTGCCCCATGGACAAGAAGGAGACATCGCCATCAGGATAAAACCCAAGCGTCCCTTTAGCTTCTTCTCTCACTACGTGGTAAGCAAGGAATCAGGAAGTCCTCCCTCCATCCATCAGGAAGTTCAGTGAAAGCAGTGGGACTGCAATCTAATGCAATCCTAAATTGCATAATGCAAATAATGCAATCCTAAATTGCATTAACAGAGGGATACAATCGAGATCAAGTGAGGTACTAATACCACTCTATAAAGCCTTAGTAAGACCACACCTAGAGTACTGCATCCAGTTTTGGTCACCACACCATAAAAAAGATGTTGAGACTCTAGAAAAAGTGCAGAGAAGAGCAACCAGGATGATGAGGGGACTGGAGACTAAAACATACGATGAACGGTTGCAGGAACTGGGCTTGGCTAGTCTAGTAAAGAGAAGGACCAGGGGAGACATGATGGCATCTTCCAATATTTGAAGGGCTTCCACAGAGAGAAGAGGGTCAGGTTATTTTTTTAAAGCCTCTGAAGGCCAGACAAGGAATAATGGATGGACACTGGACAAGGAGAGAGATTCAACCTGGAAATAAGGAAGAATTTTCTGACAGTGAGAACAATCAACCCATGGAACAGAAGCTGCCTTTGGAAGTTGTGGGAGTGCCATCACTTGAGACTTTCAAGAAGAGATTGGACTCCCATCTGTCGAAAATGGTGTAGGGTCTCCTGCTTGGGCAGGGGGTTGGACTAGATGACCTACAAGGTCCCTTCCGATTCTGATTATCTGTTATCTGTTATTGGATTGTTATTTGTGTCTTTCCTCATTGCGCAAAAATGGTGGCAACATTCTGGAGACCATCATATGGAGGAGAGTTGCTGTCAATGCAATGGGCAGTAGGCAATGCTGCATGCAAGACCCTACTTTCCATTCATGATCCTTTCCATTCATTCATGATCAACATCTTGCAACGGGGCTCCTCAAATGCAGTGACATAATTTTTAGAGAGAGGGCAAATTCTCCTGATCATGAAGGTTGTAAATGAGTGGTGTGGTGGCCTAGAGATGTTGCTCTCGTCTCGCAATCAGGAGGTTCTGGGTTCGATCCTAGCTAGAGACGGATATTTCTCTCTCTGGGCACACTGAGAATATATCTGCTGAAAAAAACCTCTGAATTGGCGACAGGGAGGGCATCCAGCCAGTAAATACTCTAGTTCCATTCAGAGGGTGATTAAGGTCATGAATGGAAGAAGAAGGTCCCTGGTTAAACTGCATTGCTTTGAAGTTCCTGGGAATTAGTTTCTTCCCCAAACCCCAAAAACTTTAACCTTAGACTGTCTACTATTGACCTCACCCCTTTCCTAAGAGGTCTGTAGGGGGCATGCATAAGCGCACCAACGTGCCTACCGTCCCTGTCCTATTGTTTCTCTTATTCTTCTTTTGTTTTTCTTATATGTACCCATTTCATGTATTCACTTCTATGTATAAACTTATACTCATTATCTTGTAAACAATTGGCAAATCAAATAAATAAAATAAAATAAAATAAATTGCAGAACATAGTTTAAAATCGTGTCAGCGGAATCCATCATCCATGTCATTTTGTTCATGTCCAGGACAACCCAGAAAAAAACTCAGCAGTTGTCCGGGGAAACTTTTACATCACCGGTGACCGAGGCTGGATGGATGAAGATGGCTATTTCTGGTTTGTGGGAAGGTCTGATGATGTCATCATCTCCTCAGGGTTGGTCCATCTCAATATACGTTAAAAAATGTGGGATGGTGGGAAAGCATCCCAAAATCATTGTTAGCATCATCTGGGTCAGGACCAACTTGGTCTGGAAAGGCCCTTCTGATGATCATTGATTTCATTCAGATCTCAATGTTGGCCAAGTCCAACTCTAGTTGGTGTGGTTTCTGCAAAACTCCACCGAGCTGGTCAAAATCAAGGAACCCAGAATTAAAGATCCAATAGAATTGAGGATAAAGAAAGAATCTTGGAAAAGATACAGGAATTGCCAGTCCTGGTTTATTATTGATTTCATTAAACTTCATTATTAACCTCATTATTAAAATATGAAATTTAGGATAATAAATACCTTAAAGTGGAGTCTTTTTGATGGTGTGAAATATTTCTTTTCAGTTCCTTGTTGCTACCTAGACTGAGTTGCTAAGATGATCAGCTAACAGCCTCCAAACTTTTGATTTTATATTTCTCATATTCTTTCATTCCTTCTTCAACTTTTTTTAAAAATTTCCAATCCTGATTTAGGGATCTCTTTTTCCCATCTAAGTAGATCCAATCTTGCTCAACTTTTTGAACTAAGACAAGATCAGCTAAGGACCAGTGCCCAAACACTAGGCAATTGAACTGTAATTATATTTAGATATACAAATTTGGGGTCTGTTCTAGGTCCCATTTGCCAAATGCCACACCTACACCCAAAGTCCTACATTCCATTTAGTGACAATAATTTGGTTCCTTCTTCCCCAGATACCGCATTGGGCCTTTTGAAGTAGAAAGTGCTTTGATTGAGCATCCAGCAGTAGTTGAATCAGCCGTGGTCAGCAGTCCGGATATAGTCCGACGGGAGGTAACGAAGCTTTTCTATAAATCTGCACATTAATTGCAGATTTAAGGAGGTTTTTAAGAAGAGATAGGACAACCATTTGTCTGAAGTAGTATAATGTTTCCTGCCAGAGCAGGGGGTTGGACTAGAAGACCTCCAAGGTCCCTTCCAACTCTTGTTATTCTGTTCTTCCTGCTTAGGTGCTGCTAGAAAAAGTTGGATGCAGACGTATCGTTTCTGCTGATTTAATTGTAATAGGTGCCTGTCTAGAGTCTTTAATTGCATGTGTGATTAAAAAAGAAGATCAGCCATTCAGGTATTCAGACAACTGGAGACACGTGAACAATAAATAAGAGCTTTATTGTGAAGCTTTTGCAAAAGGGAATTCTGTGCTTTTGGCCGCAGAAGACATGGTTCCCAGAAGGCTGGGGTTTATATACAGGTTCAAATATACAGTCTCTGCCCCTTTTCCGGGTTCACAATCTATCCAGTTATGTATCTCCCTGTGCAACACCCCTATTATTGTAGCATAACATCTGTTTTCTTAACCTGTTTACCCACTTCCAGTAATCTCCATCATTAACATGTCACTGGACAACATTACCTGCCAAATATATAACCTTTATACAAAACAAGAGAATTCTTACATAATATTCCAGTAAATATATCTTAGGTTAACACAGAGGTTAAAAATGGTGTTACCATTGCTTTATATTTTCACAGGTATTATTTTACATATCACAGCATGACACCTGGTATTTGCTTGACAAACTGTGCAAACCAAATATTGTGGTTTGCAAAACATGGCTGATTGTGAATGAACCCAAAGGTGACTGATTCAGAAAGTTATGGTTAAGGAAGCCACTACTTAACCTGTGGCAGAAATAGAGTCTTAGTTTTTTTCTTTATCATCATGTAAATATATGTTTAACATGTTGCAACCTTCGTAGTGATGGCATCTCTATGCCACAAACCAAGGTTGTTTGTTGATGGACATCTTTTGGGTCATCACTTTCCCTTCTCTTAGTTCTTTACTTTAAACCAGGATTAGACAAGACTCCATTTTGTAACGACCACAACAAAAATATTTGAAATAAATCCCCAGGAGACAAATATCTTCTTTTCAATCCCAATATATATCCTATGTGTCAACTCATAAAACATTCCTATGCCTGTTTTAGTAGTTGCCATAAAAGAGGAAGGAGGGGAGAGGAAGGAAATATGGAAAAGCAGTGCAGTAGTTTGAAAGCGAAAGTACATTCCAACTCTTTCTCTTTAAAAGACTGTAACTAAAATACCAGAGCTTTTGCTCACGAATATATTTAATTGGAGAATGTGAATGATGACACCCAGCCCGTGAAGGTGCTCAATTGGAGAATATGATTTATGACACACCCAGGGGGGGAGGGGGGAAACAGGGCCATAGGGGACTGTAAATTACGTATGCCAGAGTTGGCTTCATACAGGGCAGGGCCGGTAGGTCGCCTCTAATAAATCCTTGGAAGTTTCTTGGCTCGAGAATCATGATTTAATTAGGGCAATTGCTGGAATCCTGACACTATGTCAGACTTCTCTCGACAAATTGAAGTGGAAATAGGCGCAACAAGTTTTCAAGCATGCAAGAATCCCTTGTAAGTATAGTATATTGATTCCAGAAAAGTTAATGAAGCCATGAGGAAAGAATTCCAGGGATTGCCATGTTTCAAACACAGGCCCTATTTATAGTGGAATCAAGATCTCACGCTTCTTTCTCCAGTCTGCATGGTATGTGTTGAGTTTCGAAGTCTCATTCTTTGAGGTGGGAGGGAAAGTTTCCATCTGCCTTTTGGTTTTCATTTAAAAAAAACAACCCTGCCTGCTTTTCGTCTGACCTCTTGATCAGTAGCTACTATGAATGGTTTTGTTTTCCAGGTGGTAAAAGCATTTGTGGTTTTGTCTCCTGAGTTCGCATCACACAACCCAGAGAAATTAACTCGGGAGCTGCAAGACCACGTCAAGAAAGTGACAGCGCCATACAAGTATCCCAGAAAGGTGAGTGTTATAACTAGGTAGTGTTGAATTATTCAGAAGCCTGAGGGCGATAACAGAATATCAGAGTTGGAAGGGACCTTGGAGGTCTTCAAGTCCACCCCACTGCTCAAACAGGAAACCCTATACTATTTCAGACAAGTGGTTGTCCAATCTCTTCCTAAAAGCCTCCAATGATGGACCACACACAATTGCTGGAGGCAAGCAATTCCACTGGGTAGTTTAAATTTCTCCTTAGTTCTAGGTTGCTTCTCTCCTTGCTTAGTTTCCATCGTTTCTTGTCTTGCTTTCTGGTGCTTTGGAAAATAAGTTGACCCCCTCTTCCTTGTGGCAGCCCATTGGATATTGGAACACTACTATCATGACACCCCTAGCCCATTGGGGGGGGGGTTGGACTGGATGACCTACAAGATCCCTTCCAACTCTGTTAATCTGTATTCTGCATTCTAGTCCTTCTTTTCACGAAATACCGTTGTGGTGTTTGCGGCTTAACAAACCATGGCAAAAAGAGTGTGTCTCATTTAACCACCACCTTCTTAGCAGCGGAAATGATCTCAGCTGGAGTCGTAATTCGGGAACTACTTCGATCTCCCTGGCTTTAGAAAAGAAGGAGTTATGGTTCTTCTTCTTTGTTCTTATTTCGTAAGGTGGAATTCGTACAAGAGCTGCCCAAGACGATCAGTGGCAAAATCAGAAGGAACGAACTGCGAAAATGGGAATGGGGAGAAATTTAGTTCCATGTCAGTTTCTCTCTCTCTCTCGATCCCGTCACCGTTTGCAGAAAGGTCAGCTGGCAGATTTCTGCACAACCAGGTTTCTTAATTTCTGCAGATTTCTGGGTTTTCCGATGAGTATCAATATTGTTCCTGTGGTTTCTACTAAATACGGTAGTTTTAAAAAAAACATTTGCCGTTTGCTTAAAACTTCCTTTTATTCCTTTTGACTTGGCAATTGGAGTTGTTGTGTTTCTGGCCAAGCTGCAAATCACTTTCTTCCCACTTTTCTCTAACATCTTTCATTTTATTTAGGGATCCAGACCAATAAAATGCAATACAATCTTTTAAAATGTAGAACCGCCAACATTCTGAATTTTGTTATGTTCCGGACAGCTTCTTGCAAATGCTTTTGAAGTCGTGCTGGCATTGTCATTAAACAGAATTATCTTATGGGTAAAAGAAAATTTCTTAATCCAAGGTAGGCCACTAGTTCAGCTTATGTCTTAATTAATCAACTAATATTAGCTCTCAAATAGTACATGCATAGTTTCTACATTCAAAACTGCAAACCGAACCCTTTCAATTACTTTGGATTACAATGTTGAGGTCACAAACATCCCCAATCAAAGCTGTCTATTTGGCCATCAAAACAGCTCTCTCCAGCTCAAGGTGCTTGAGCAGCATTTTTGAGTTTTGTGAAGTTCTTAAAAGTTGCCAAGTTTGCTCTAGATTCTTCTATCCCTTCCATGTGTATGTGTATTGATAGATAAATGATTAGATGATATGGATGGATGGATGGATGGATGGATGGATAGATACCGTAGATAGATGTGAGATAGATCCGAGATGATATAGATACCATAGATATAGATATTGTAGATAGATGATAGATATGATATATACAGTAGATAAGATATAGATGATGATATATAGATATGGATAGATGGATGTAGATAGATAGATAGATAGATAGATAGATAGATAGATAGATAGATAG